TGATAGCGCCGCAAAATGTTCCGTTAATTGGAGATACCTGTTTGCTGCAACTTCGATTGCACGGGGATGGGTTATTGTTGCTACTCCCTATATTAAATTTCAATTGAAACGGACGCTTTGATTGCCTTTAATCGATTCAATAATACCTGGTTACGCCTATCATTGTTCCAGCTACTAGTTATTAGATCACTTTGAATACTGGTTCGATTGGATTAATGTTGGTAAAGGAATAACCTCTATAAACGGCCATGCCACATACCTACTCGGGTATAAGGTTAGGTCATGTCGAGTTAGAAGTTTGGCTCTACATGAGATCTGATAACTTTTTCAAAGTGCGTGCCATACGGTTTGACTTGAAAACATTTTCATGTAAATGTTTAACTAACATAGTAGTTACAAAAATGTTGTTTGTATAAATTTTTACAGAAAACAGTTTACGTTGGGTTCATATTTTGTTTGACTGAATTAATTTGGTAAATGCATCCGTCGAAATTATTCAAATGCTTGTTTATAATAACAAATTAGACGTGGCGCAAGTGACGGCGCAGCAACCATAAATTAAATCGGATTTTGTCACTGGCAGTAGTAGTAGCAGTGAACTAAATCTGCATCAGGTGTATAGGCGCTTCTGGCAAACTGGTTCGGCTCGGCAGGCGCGGGGTAAGTCGCGCGCCAATGCAAATTAGTGGAATCACAATTAGTGCTCGATTGTTGTTCGCCCTGCAGCCTGCATTTAGCAAATGAAACAACCTGGTAAGAGATTCAGCAAACAAATTATGAAGCGGCATACTCCGTTTCCATGCCGAGGTGTGCCTTTTGTTGCCGTTCGGAGACGAGCGAGAGTTGCTGCTCGTTCCGCAATACTATTTACACTTTCCTCTTTGTTTTATTGTTCGCAGTTGTAAGAGCTCCTTCAATTAGTTTGAAGATATTTTTATTGAACGAGCCGGCGTTTAATACTTCTCGATTCTGGTATAAAAGAAACAGAACGATAATAATAGCAACAGCACAAAATACGGGTATATTTCGGTGCGGATATTTGGGTCTACATTATTAACCTTAATACAACAATACGTCACCCCTTTAAAATTTGTAGGGAGGGAATAACAAAACATTCAGATTGTAAAATGCCTCGAGGATTTCCCTGAAATGATTTGTGACTAAATCTGAAACTTACATTAATTAAGTTTAAATACCCGGTTTAGCGCTCTTGTTTGTTATGCTATTTATGCCGTTTGTTTGTGAATATATAATCGTTACATAGAACAATAACTTCATGTCGCATATTATGTGATTCCAGATTGAGTAACGTCAAATTCAAAATGTATCCCAACTAATAATATATTATAAATGCGAAAGTAACTCTGTCTGTCTGTCTGTCTGTTACGCTTTCCCGCTTAAACCTCGCAACCGATTTTGATGAAATTTGGCATAGAGATAGTTTGAGTCCCGGGAAAGAACATAGGATAGTTTTTATCCCGGTTTTTGAAACAGGGACGCGCGCGATAAAGTTTTTCTGTGACAGACAAAATTCCACGCGGGCGTAGCCGCGGGCGGAAAGCTAGTTGTTTATAAATATCAGGTTAGTCAGAGTTATAATAATAACATTTAAAATCAAGTGTATGAGACTGAATCGGTTAACTTCAGATTTAACTGAAAAATTTCCGATTTCAAAAACATAATATATTATACGTTGAATTTTAATACAAGTTTTAGACAATGATTAGCAAGAGTTCGTCGCTTCTATTTCCAAAAGGATCAGCTTTAGACAAAAGTGACCGCGCGGGAACCGAGGCCAGTACACATTTAATTAATGACGTATTGCAAGATGGATATGTGTCGCCATTTGTACACCAAACAAAATGTCCACGCAATGTCCTCCGGAGTTGACAGATGATGTTAAGGGCAATTAATCTTGACCAAATATGCGGGCGTATTGCGGCCTCCGCCCCTCCTAATGACGACGTTCCAGTGTCCCGCTTCTTTGCGGTTCACTTCACTTCGCCTTATCTAAGCTTTCCTCCGCGAAATATGTTTCCACATTTAGCTAAGACTTCCCAAATAAATCTTCGAACTTTGTACACCGAACTACAGCAACTAAATGATATTCGCGCTCGTAATTAACGGAGGCGCGTTCAATTTATGCGTTTTCTTACCTCGAGTCCTTACGTAAATTGGTAGTACTATAAACGAAGTATTGTAACTTCATACTATCCGAAATATGTAGAATTGTTCACATATCACCTTTATAGTTATGCAATATGACATTGGTCATAAATAAGGCTGACATAAAACGCGTTGCCCTCTTTTCCATCGTTTAATGACATTCGACAGACCCTTGTCATCGTCAGTGTCGCTGTCTGATTCATGCGGCCAAATATTTTAGTACAGCAATCGGAACGTTATGAGAGTTTCGTGTTGCGCCGGTGTTATTATGCGGGCTCCGAACGGGCGGTGACGATGAGGTGTGGTGAACGAGCAAAGTTATAATAACCTTCGTCCTTTCATCTTCGCTGGCCTGGGAGCATTGTCTTTTGATCCGATATAACTTCACACCCTTATAACTGTATAATGTTATTAAATTAGTGACGTCTAAAAGGACACCGACGGAGTTTGTGTTCGAGTTTTGTAATAAATCAATGATGACCCAAATCTACTCGATAAGTAATTTGAGTTTGGATAAAGCCTATCGTGCCATGATCATATTGAACCTATCTATAAGCAACCTTTAAGAATAGTGGAATTGAAAATACAACACAATAAAGCGGCTCAATAGCTTAATTACCAAAGATAATTCCCAGTAGAGTCCGGATAGACCTTCACTATCAAAGCTTTAATATTGGTAGTTAAGTTAACACCGCCATTGTGCAGCTGAATCAACGTGGAGACTCTAAAGCCTTTCTACGTTTCGTTTCAAGAGTCTTATCTCCGACGCAATGACTACGCTCCAAATGAACATCCTTTAGACTTTTTGCTTCTTTTAATTAACAACTTTTGTTTTTCGTCATCTTGTGCTCATTGCGGTAATCATTCGCTTTCTTAAGAAATTGCATTTTAGCTGAAATACACTTGGAATGTTCTCTTTTCTCTGCGGATATTCTTAGTAAGATAAAACAATTCTCACTAAGATTTAGAAATGAAGAATGTCTGTGGGTAGTTTGAATTAACCTTTCGAGTAGTTTGTAGATCCGTAGCCCGGTTACGGGCCGGGTCATCTGCTAGTTAATATTCAAAGGGTCGCACGATCATGGATTCCGCACGCGTCTCCCTTCCACCGCTGCCGGAACGAGCTTGTTTTTGAAACCTTACTTTTTGTTACAAAATACTCTGTTATTTTCCTACTGAAAACCTTTTGAAGAGATCTTAAAATATTGTCTGCAATTCAATTACGATCACATTATAAATTCTGTCTGAACTTTCAACTAAAAATATCCTGGTTTTATTACAGTTTAATCGTGTGTTCCGGACAAGCTTTCCTTTCCGCACGTTTCAGGCATATTCGGATATTGCGCATTGAAATTTGAAGCTCGAGCAGATAACGATTTGCTTATGTATTACAATCCGAATTCAAAGCAATGTTCCTGCCAGTGGTTCTGATTCGATAGAATTCCATTTAGCGTATGGAATACATTTCAATGTTTCAGAAACCTTATTAAATGCTGCATAATCTACTTATTTACGCTTAATTATAGATGATTTACGGCCTTCACCGCTTTTATGTTGTCGATCAGTGACGAACATTAAAAAGCAAAAATACGGGGCAACGTTTCATTGTCTCTCAAATCGGATTTAGTATTCATTACTTAACTTTTTGATAAAATTTAATTCAGAATTTTGAGGATCGCTCTTCCAATTTTATGCTTGAATGGATTTGTTTCGGGGCTGCAAAGGAGTGTTTCAATGTAAGCCTTCATTCAAATAACGAAGGTTGGATTTGTTGGAGCAGAGTATTCACGACTCGGCGAACTCGGAGATCTCTTCGGATAAATTGATAGGTATGTATATTGCTAAATGATAACGTTGTTTTTTCTTATCAGGCAGAGTTTGCCAACACTCAAAGCCAGTCTAAGAAGTTGTCTACCGACCATACTGTTAGATAGAATAAATATAGAATGTCGTGTTAAAAATATTCATACCTACCTATGCATGTTTTATTTGCGGATAAATGACTGTTATTATTTACATAATTAATATTTACGGATATAAACTTACGTAAACGATAAACAGCATTTTCTCAAGTAACCAATAAAACTATTATACCCTGTAATAATACTTCACAGACGGTCAAATAAAGTACAAATATTATTTCACGTCTTGACCAATTTACGTTTACAATAACACTCTTTATTACTGAGCAGTAGTTACCATCAGCCTTTCAGACCCGTAATTTCATGAACGAAGGGTATAATTTAGGACCGTTCACGCACGGTTAGGCTTACATCTAACTACTTAAATGCCTCTTTTTCCAATACTTTTGAAATATTCTTTGAACCTTTCTGTATCACTTACACGTATTATTGAAGAGTTATTTATAGGTATCATGGAAACTTCCGATGTAATTAAGAGGACGCAATACTTATTTTAACTTGAGCTTTTGTTTATAAGTATTTTCTTTGTTTCAGATATTACTGATGAACTCGAGACGTAGAGTCAGTGCAACGTTCCACACACGGATGTCGTGAGCTCTGTCCCCGGGAGCACACGACGTCGCCGTGATGAGCACAACCCGCCATAATGCGTCGGCGGCCATTTTAAACCGTAAACGGCGTTTGTCGGCTCGAGATGGCCGTCAACCGCGGCGCACGCGCTCCCAGCCACCCTGCGCAGTGGCGCCTTCACACTCACCTGCACTATGAAATGTGGAAACACGGCAAGTGGCGACAGAAAACGTCACGACCAAGGACAAACCCGGCCGTCAGAGTGCCCAGATAGAAACGTTGTACAGTGATATTCGTAGAGGCCTAAGTGTTACTTTTCTGTGTAAATATAGTGGTGATTAGATGTTAAGGATGGCTGGCGAGAGTAAGGGTGCGCGCACGCCGCTGCTGGAGTGCGGCGAGTACGCGCACGCGCACAAGGGCTCGGCGCCGCGATGCTGCTTCTGGCTGGCCAGTCACGTCAACGTGAGGAAGTGCGTCGCTGGCATCATGTTGCTATCCGTCCTCACGATATTCTTCTATACGTACTACGTCACCGTGCCCTTTACGAGGTTGGTATAACGTAAATTGGGTTCTGACGCATTTAACAACATGCTCACTTTTCTATAGAAATATAAAGGCTGAAGAGTTTGTTTGTACAGTAAGTATGGAAAAGTGCGCATTTCACGAAGTGCTCATTTTGAAAAGTGCACATTCTGCGTCAGACTCATAAATTGTAAATATGTTTGTGACGCCTAGATAATTAGGTCATGATCTGGCCTTAAAAGTAAGATTCATACATACTTATACATAGATTTGTACCTACCGCGCGGTGTTCTTATCTAAATTCTGAGTATTTAACTACCCTTGGCCTTTAACTAGTTACGATTAATTGTTAATTACTTAGTTCGGAACCCAGCGGAAAAATACGTTGTAAAAGATTGATTAAAAGATGATTTAATGGTTTTGCTTGATATGGAATATGATCACTTATTATTGTAAAGTATGTTTAAAACAGTATACAGGGTGTTTGGCGCATCGTGTGCCAAAATTATTTGGCGGATAGAATGGGTCATTTCCTATATTTTCAGCCCCCATAACACGTTCCATGCCAGGCGGCTACTTTTATATGAATTTTTTTAGTAATTTCACCAAAATACCCAAATCGCATCATTTAATTTCGATTTAAAAAAAAAAACTACTAGGCGTAGCCTCACAGTAAATATTNTAATCTGACGGAATTCACAATTTTACGGTGACATATACAAATCGTTAAATGTAGGGCAAACGTTTAAATAAAAAAACGTCTAAATGTATTGTACAATGATAGCACTGATGTCGAATAGAATTATCTATTACAAAGTAAACAATTTGTTATCAATGTTAACGCGCTCGTCTTGATCTTAGAAGGCATGAAAGTTTTAAGTCTTTTACGTTGTCGTTAATCAAGATTTTCGACTGAATTAGAGATTTTCTTTTATGACTCAGCTTAAATGCGTCTTTTCACACTTCACAATTTCTCCCAAAACAAACGAAATTGCTGCCTAATCCTATAAACATAAATACTTAATGTGTAGGTTGCTGCTGTTTAATTATATAGAGTTTATAAGCTGTTAACTGTTGGCGGTGAGACCGGCCGGCCCCAATGCAGAGGTCAGAGCCTTGAACTCTCTTAAATAGACGGAAACGGTGGCTATATAACACTCTACTACCACTCTGGAGGCTTTTATTTGCATTCGTCTTTTAATATTTAACTCGGTTTTTCGCCATATCTCGGACTTTGCGACAGTAATCGCCGCTGGCCGTTTTGTAAAGCAAAAAGACAAGAATATTTAAAAAAATCTTTAAGACAAATTCAGTCTTATTTTATATCTAGATAGTACATGAACGCGCTCTATGAGGATGTTGTTCAGAAGATTGCTGCAATTGCCTTCATTATTTTATGTTAGCAATTCTAAGTACAAGGTCACACGGCTGGGTCATTTGACATTGAATTTTAATATAGTGTTTCAGTCTTGATAAACAAGAAAGAAAATCATTTGAGAACTCGTCTCGATATACTATTTTTTGGCACACTTTTTCAAGTTGAAACTTAATTTGCCGTTTTCCGCAATCGTTAAACGTGGATTCAATATAGTTAACGTTAGCCGCTCTATCAAAACAACTGCCTATTTATTTGAATTATCTCGTGTTACGTATCGAAACTCAATTAATTATCGCGCGCGTAGTTAGTTGAAAATATGCCGTCATTTGCACAGTATTCAATTTACATGCTATCGGGGCAATTTGAGCAAATAATGCGTTGATATGAATTAATAGTATATCATTATAGTAGTCGGTCAGTGCAGTACTCCATTAATATGCCGGGATTAGTGGGGCATGTTTGTTGCAGCTTATCATAAAATAATGATGCCCAATTCTCACCGCCGTCGAGTGATTAATATTCGATATCTCTTTTATGCTTCGTTTAACACTCGTGGCTCGTGAAACTATTCATTGTTGACACAATATTATGGCCTCTCTATTGTTGCGAAATATTCCAATAATGTAGGTGTTTCAGTAAAATAACTAGATTCTTGTAGAGTCAGCATTCAACAAGTCCATATAAATAAATGCAAGTTCATCTGTTTTAAAAGTTAAATGATTACGCTAAATCACCACAGAATTTTCATATTCGTAAAGACGATATTATCCGCGTCATGGAAAGAAAAAATCTCTAACGACCGCATCGCTTAAGGCTTATGATAAAATGAAGAAACACTCAAAATGTTGTTACGTATACCAACACAAATCATTTACTTTTACAGCTCGCTCAAACAAAGTAGATAAGAATTTTTATGTTGCAAAAGAAATTGATGCTTACAATGCCGGGGCGAATTATATTGAAGTTTTCATAAATGGGGCAAGTCGAAAGTACAGCCTTGCTTATACCGGTATTCAGTCGGTGCTTCGTTAATAATGCAGGGGAGTCTGGGCGAACATGGCCGATCGACGTCGGGTGAGCGCTCGCTCGAGATTGCACACTCACTTCTATTATCCTCTCCACCTAATTCGGCTATCGCTTTTCATCGTAAAATCCGTAACACCTTTTGGAAAGCATATTATAAATTCTTATGTACGCTTAAAGTACTTTAGCTTTGACTTTAGCTAAAACAATAAAACTGATTATCGAATCCAATGTCTCAATTTGTTAGGTACGTGTATGTGTATTCCCAAACATGTCGTGCCGAAAGCAAAGATCAACGACATCGTTTCCGCATGCGATGTGATACGGTCTCTCGATTAAATATTTTGTCAACTTTCCTGAGAACATCCACTCGTATATCAAATATTGTCATACGGAAAATTTAACATTAGGTTCAGAACGATGTCGAGTGGATTGTATTTATTCAACAAAATGCCGCTTTAGAAACATCTGGAGCGAAGTTTTAAAAACACAGTTAACTGCACTCACGTGTTTATATAGAGAAGTGTCGTCTCGTACATGTTTGCATACTCATGCTTATCTCGTTTGTGTTCCCAGAGAAAACGTTTTAGACAATCTTAAATTTTTCCAAGTCTTAGTATACTCGCACACATTCAAGCCTTATTATTCAAAGTGTTATAAAGATGTTATGGCCAATTATAATAATACGTTATGCGTTAAATTGCCAGTTAATTCGTAAAATTTCTTCTCAGACGAATTAAAAGGCTTTGTCCCGGGTGTCCTTGTAGCGCTTTGTTTAGCACCTATTCACGGATAAATTAGGATGGGAAAGCGAATATTTCAGAGTAATTTATAACGTGATTTCATGTAATTAGTGTTGGTGTCGTGAAGCTAGGATGATAATATTTTATTTTATCGGCTTAAAATTACACCGCCGAGATGAGCAGCAAGGGGCGGCAAATTTCGCCGACTCAGTTGAATTTATAGCAAAACTTGTGTTCGAGCTAATTAATAATGGAAGCTGCTTCGAGACCGCGCCCAGAACTCGTTGATTTGAAGCCGTATTGTTTATGATCATTTACACCTAATCGCTGTTGAGGAACTTAAGGCCGGGTAGGGTAAGTGATTTCTATTAGAAAGTGTTGTGAGTGTGACGCTTGAAGGGAAGGAAGTCAACCTAACCTAACCAACTGCGTATTTCTATACTGTGTAGCTGGAAATTGTGGCGGGAGCTCTTTGACGCGCTGTTTTCGGTGAAGAATTGCGCGCGCAGATTTTGACAGCGCGAAATACCTACTTTAGAAGAAATACCAAGCCTTAAGGCTGTTAAATTCACTTAATCTAATAGTAGTGCTACCAAACGAATCAAACGTCTGTAAATGTGTGTCGTCGCGTCGCGCTTCCGAGCAGTAACCGTTTTATGTTCTTTTCATTTGAGTTTCCAATCTGTTGGCTAAGGCGTGGTTTTCATTAAAGCAAAGAGGCCACAAGCTGCGGCTCGCAGGACTCAGCTGCCTCCGATGAAATATTTTCACAAATTCCACCTTTATTTATTCTACGCTATAGAGATAAACGCTAATGGCGCTTTGATGTGGCTCCAACTTCGAACGCAACCTTAACTTTGGCAGCCTTTGATTGATTTTCTTCTAAATTTCACCGCAACTGATTACTTAGTTAATATACAATTTGCATCTTAATCTCACAAACACTTCGTATTCTATTAAATGCATAGTAAACTTTTGAACAGGTTGTGAATTGCTAAATAATAGAGAATTTCTCTCGCGTTATAATCTTAATTGACTTCGGAACTAACGGTTAAATGCCTTTGGATAATAAATAAGCTTCCATTCAAAGTTCGTTCCATTTAAATTTAATTATTAAATAGCATTGCGTGCTCCTAAGTTTCGGCATTATGAAATGTTTTGGACGTAATTAATTGTTGTAACTGGTAGTTACATTACTAATTTAGTTTTAGCAAAGCAAAAACACATTCGTCTATTTTTGGGACAATCTTAAATGTCGGTTGAAATAGGATGAGTAAAACTTTTAAAGCTGTTTTAATAAAATCCCATTTTACCGGTTTGTGCTCCTAATTTTATTATTAAAAATAATTGTCTGTAAAGGGCCCTATACACTTAAGCGGACCGGCATTAATCGGCACAGCCGGACGGTAATGTAGATGAATGTTCGGGATAAAAGCCAATAGAGAGGCTTTGCCGTTCAACAAACACTGCGAACCGAATGTGCTGACCCGCTCATATGTGTAGCGTATATAAATCCATATTAATATTTTAAATGCGAAAGGGAAAAATCTGCCGTTGTTGGTATAACGGGTCTGACGCAGAATGTGCACTTCCCAAAATGCACACTTTTCCACACCAATATAAAGGCAGAAGAATTTGTTTGTACCTATAATATTTTGCGAAGTGTACATTCTGGGACAAACCGGTTTTCGCGCCTAAATTTTAAACATTTATGTGAAGCCTACGAGGTGAAAGCAGGCTACCTTTTAGGTAAAAATAAATACTGAAGGATGTAGAAGTGTGTGGATATCCAATAGCCACCGATTTATTGTCGGCCGATAGTTTAGTCGGGCAGTTAATCAGTATGGGCATGTATGGAAGTGCGCACATTACACCGATTGATTCTTCATACAAATTAGAATCGGACCCAACTATCGGCTGACAAAAAATCGTTGGTCTGCGCCAAGGCTAAGAAAGCATGTAATAATGTGACATGCTAGAAGCTAGTAAAATAATAACGTCTGTCTTTTGTCTCACAGCCTGGTGTGGCGAGACCGCGTGCCGCGCCCGCTGTCCCAATGCTCGCTGCTCGCGTCGCAGCAGCAGGCCGCGCGCGACCACAGATCCGACGCGCGCCTGCGCATCGACGCGAAGGTGCTCGTCATCGTAGAGTCGGCCTACTCGCGACTGGGGCGCGACATCGCCGAGCTGCTTGTCGCTAATCGTATACGGTAAGTGGTAAGGTCATATAAAATAGGCGATGATCGTGACTCGTCTGTGATTGTGCTATGATCGTTCGTAATCGTGCACTACTGGATATTTAGGTAATACATGCTGAAGATCCGACAGCAGATTTATAGACCATGATCATGCAGCGACTACAAACGAGTAACCGCTAATCGTGTAGAGGAGCCATAACATTTCTATACAAAAACTCTGCTCTGCTAATTGTTCCAACTTCACCACCATTCGTGACTCGGTAAAATGCGTCATTGTCAGATCAACTTACAAACTAAATTAAGGTACGATCCCATCGTCCTTGTCGTTGCTAAATCATTCTAAAATATTGTTTTTGTAACGGTTGACGAGGCGACCAATAGCTGCAAGTTCAAATACATTTATAGTACAATTTTACCACCGAAACTACAAAAACAATTCGGATACATGTCAACATGCACCGTATTTCGCTCTACAAAACAAAGAGTAACGAATACCGGGTAAAAACAACATACATATCTATAACTTCATTCGTATTTTCACATTTCCCGGTACGGCACCACAAAGGTAATTTGGCAGAATAAAGAGTTAACGCAACCAAACCATTGTTGAGTTAAGTACCCTTCACTCGAGTGCGCCCATTCTGTCGGAGTACGTGGTATGTGTTTGACCCTTGATATATGTATTAATCCACCGAACGAAACAACAGACGAGAACTAGGGGAACATATTTTTGAAACGTTAGAAATCATGGAGCATACGAAACTGGACGAGTTCCTATACGATAGATGCAGATTCTATACAAATTACAATTCGAATGCCCCAAAAATACGTCTCGTACCCTACTATCATATATTATTTTATCGTGGCATAATGTAAAACAACATAACGTCATAATTGGCCGACTGGTTAAAAGTTTTATCGTCTGAAACAACTGACGAAAATTGTGAATGGCGTTTTTCAGTCTTTGTTTTTTTTAAACACCAAATACTGAAACTTGCGAACAACAAGAATGTGTCACTGCCCCAATTTCCCGTGCATCTCTTTTTAACTGGCTCAAATAGCACGTTTCGTTTTTATTGTAACAGTTTTGGCAGCCCGCTATCAGTTTTATGAAGTCCCCAACTTGCCATACCAATTGCACTGTGCATGTGCTAATCGGACTAATAAACACGTACCTAATACAGTTCGTGTTTGCGTCAGAATTATATTTATTTAAATAACAACTAAATATAACTCAAATTTTGTTCATTTCAATATTGAAACCGGAACAATGGCAACCATTACAAACAGAAATTACATAAGTAATTTTAAAACAAAACAAAAACCTCATCGACTTTTCAACGAATGCATCAAGAGTATCAGATTACTCTGAATTTCATAAATTTTTCAGTTTTTTTTTTCATTTCAACATATTGAAATTCAAAGAGAACGCGGCGCTATCGATTTACGCGTTGCTCTCGCCTACATTTTAATTTTTATTTGTTGAAAGATTTAGGCGATTATTACGTATTCAATGTACATTTTCTTGTAGACAAATAAATATTTCAAAGCTTTTCTATTTTTGTATTTCGCTAAAAGGGCGTACCTTCAAAAGTTTGCTATCAACATTTGCCGAGGGCTCGGCTGGTGACTATCACCGAGTCGTGTTTGCTTTGTTTTTACGCGGGGAGTCGATCGCGTTGACAGCTAATATGCGGACGAATTGATGTATGTACTGCTGCGAGGGTGGAGACGGGAGGATTATACACGGTGTTCTGTATGTGCGGTGGGAGGTCGAATCACGGTAAGGACCGCCGGATGAGTGTTTGTACATCAATAGGAAAATAACGCGCTGGTGAGATTTTATTCTGTATGCGCGGACGTATTTATGTACTTGTACTTTGCGCGAGTGCAGACGGGAGATTTATTGTTCAGTATGTATAAAGATTTAAATTAAAATATACATTGGGTCAAACTCAGATAATCATGGTGTTAATAACAATAGAAAAATAACGCATTCAGTGTTTTATTCTGTTCACAGTACCTAACATACAGAAGTATTGACGTATGCCACGGAACGCGATTCGCGAAAACATGTAAAAAATAATAACTTGCAGGTTAATATTTCTTTTAATAAGACACTAACGGCGTAACGTTCTTACTTATACATTTTATCCAGTAAAAATCTACTTATATCTGGAAAACTTCCGGTATACAGGGTGGAAACGATAAGTGATCTCACTCGATTATTTCTAAACTATACAAGATATCGAAAAACTGGTTATTGAGCCTGAAAGTGTTTCACAAGCTCTTTCAAACGGTATTAATAATAGGTTACAGAATAAACTGGAACTATCCTAAAATTAAATGTTTCCAGCTTCCATACTAAATGTATGCCGACGACACATTATTAGAAGTGTAATTTATTTTTTGTTCTTTAATAAACTTAAAAAGTCGGTTAAATTAACTCGTAACTTGCATCGTATTTAAAATTATTTGTGAAAAACATTAGATTTAGGCTTTACTTGCTATAAAATTATCAAGAGATGAGTGCCATGACTGTGATAGTACTAAATGTATGGAAGGCGGAAACATTGAATTAGGATAGATCCAGTTTATTCTGTAACTTGATATTGATACCGTTGGATAGAGCTTGTGAAGCACTTTTAGGATCAGTAACCAGTTTTACGATATCTTGTGTAGTTTTTAAAATCATGTAACTTTACCAAATGTATGGAAGCTGGAAACATTGAATTTTCGGATAGTTCCAGTTTATTCTGAAACCTATTATTAGCACCATTTGAAAGAGCTCGTGAAGCACTTTCAGGATCAGTAACCAGTTTTTCGATATCTTGTATAGTTTAGAAATAATCGGATGAGATCACTTATCGTTTCCACCCTGTATAGTTTGCAGTTGTTTCTCTAACAAACTGCTTTTCTTGTTAGTACTTCCATGATTTACTGCGCCCGTAGTCCCTCACCTATATCTGTCGCGTCCTCTCCCGCTTCTGACTTTTTGCTCTGGGGCGTCGCGTCGGGTTAAAAATCGGTTTCCTCTTGAGCCCCTCTCTAAGGTAGTGATGGGACTACAATAACCTCGTTCGGGTGCCGATTTTTCAGATAAGTTTTAATTCACACGTGCAGCTTTTAAAATTCGTGTATAGACAGACATATTTTTATTACTTTCATTAAACATTCTGTATTTCATTAGAAAGTAAGTACGAATACCATTATCCTAAATAGCTTGAGAAATATTTTGTTGTCATTTTTAAAAGTACTTATTTAAAATTGTTACCCTATAGCACAGCAGCTTATCTTATAGCACTGGTTATAAGTCCTAAATAACGCCTATCTCGAAGCTAGCAGTATAGGTACCGTTTTAATATGTCGTCTTGTTTGTTACACTGTAATCTTAATTACAAGTTTATTAAACGTTAATACTCTAGTAGATTATAACAATGTGCTCATATTTATTTTTGTCCTTTGGAGCTGTTATTCTGCCGTATAATCGTAATCGAGCAACGATTACAAACTAAGTAAGAACAGGCCTGTTCATCTCCGCGAGTTTACATCGAAAACAAAACACGCACGATGGCCCACCTACAGGATACTATTCGACAAGGCCTCACATACGAGGGAACATTGACTCACGCACGCGTATTCTTGTGTATGGTGGAAGAAAATAAAGAAAATGGTGTACTAAATACTCTGCAATATTTAACTGCCTAAATAATAATAAAAACACAGAAGTTGCCTCATGATACTGAGAGGTAAATAAGTAGTTAATATTATTCATAATAATTCATGCGAAATCATGTATTTCNATTATACACGGTGTTCCGTATGTGCGGTGGGAGGTCGAATCACGGTAGGGACCGCCGGATGAGTGTTTGTACATCGATAGGAAAATAACGCGCTGGTGAGATTTGATTCTGTATGCGCGGACGTATTTATGTACTTGTACTTTGCGCGAGTGCAGACGGGAGATTTATTGTTCAGTATGTATAAAGATTTAAATTAAAATATACATTGGGTCAAACTCAGATAATCACGATGCTAGGGCAACTGGGCTGGATGACAATAAATACTGTCAATGGATGACAATTTTCTATGACTATGTAGGTACAGCCTGTGAACGAGCATATTATTATTTTGTGGGGTTACTTTCATCAGAGTTCCTCTCAACTCTGAAGTAACAATAGAAAAATAACGCATTCAGTGTTTGATTCTGTTTACAGTACCTAACATACAGAAGTATTGACGTATGCCACGGAACGCGATTCGCGAAAACATAAAAAATAATATACTTGCAGGTTAATATTTATTTTAATAAGGACACCAACGGCGTAACGTTCTTTCTTACCTATACATTTTATCAAGTAAAAACCTACTTATATCTGGAAAACTTCCGGTATATAGTTTGCAGTTGTTTCTCTAACAAACTGCTTTTCTTGTTAGTACTTTCATGATTTACTGCGCCCGTAGTCCCTCACCTATATCTGTCGCGTCCTCTCCCGCTTCTGACTTTTTGCTCTGGCGTCGCGTCGGGTTAAAAATCGGTTTCCTCTTGAGCCCCTCTCTAAGGTAGTGATGGGACTACAATAACCTCGTTCGGGTGCCGATTTTTCAGATGAGTTTTAATTTTCGCGTGCAGCTTTTAAAATTATTTTGATTTTGAAGGTGTCGTGGATAGACATATTTTTTATTACTTTCAATAAACATTCTGTATTTCATTAGAAAGTAAGTACAAGTACCATGGTATTTCCTACTAAATAGCTTGAGAAATATTTTGTTGTCATTTTTAAAAGTACTTATTTAAAATTGTTACCGTATATCTTATAGCACTAGTTATAAGTCCTAATTAACGCCTATCTCGAAGCTAGTGGTATAGGTACCGTTTTAATATGTCGTCTTGTTTGTTACACTGTGATCTTAATTACAAGTTCATTAAACGTTAATACTCTAGTAGATTATAACAATGTGCTCATATTTATTTTTGTCCTTTGGAGCTGCTATTCTGCCGTATAATCGTA